CACAACTATTGCTTGTTTCAGTCTCATACGGGATGCTTTAATTGTTGATGGATATTTGAAATAGGCGTACAAGATACTGGATAATGGCCTCACCCCCTAGTTTAAGGATTTCCCCAGGTATATTACCGGGTCCCCTAGATTTATTATTTCCTAGATTTTGAACTATTTTTAGGACTGTTTTACTTTCTGTAAAAAATTGAGAGCAATCATTAATTGGTTCGACATTGATTACCTCACCCGTCTTATTTGCTAGACGGATGCAAAATAAGCATTGAATAATTCCTATTTTTCTTCATCGCTAAATACTAATGATGGTATATTATGAAAATACTAATGATAGTTTATTCCTACGGCCGAAATTACAGAGGTATTTATTTTGCTGCGTAACCATCTAAACATATGACCAAAATGTACTTTAGATCCTATAGTTTTTTCCAAGAACTCTGCCTGGACGCGTCTCTTCTCCTATAATAATTCTTTCAGCAAATTGTGGTATCGTGGGTAAGAACCATATAATTTGCGGCCCTGATCCCGAACAAGTTACTTTTTCTGGATCGTAATTAATTTACTTTCTCGAATACGTAGTGTAGTCAGAAGCTACGTTTTGCGGGCCCTTCATACCGATAAAGAAGTTTTTGGCGAAACGTCTGTCCGGTTGTTTGAGTGTCCGGCAGTGGACACCACTAGTCTCTAAACTGTTCAGACGATTTTCTCCAAAACTTATATTCCCCGATCGATCTCATTGCGCGTCAGGCCCTACAAATTTGAAACAGATATTTTAATTTAAGGAGTACTTTACATGAAGCCTCAACATTTTCAATTTATTTCAAAAAAGTGTTCAAATTGTTCCTTAATTTTTTTGCAAAAATAATACAAAGAACGTTCATACACTAAATATGATTACAGTAAAATATGTATAATCCGGAACATGTACATGACAGAAACTGCCTTAACAGAAAAAATTCTCTGGACGGTGAAGTTACATGGTATTTTACACAGCATAAAACGGAATCTGTCCAACACGGAAACGGTACAGTTTTTCATGTCCTAAAGGGGAAAAATCTATATAAAAAGGAATTCCTGCGAATTTAATTCGATTGGCAGAGACGCAATATATCTTTAATGTAAGGAATGCATCAGCAAGTCTGTTTTAAATTCTCTGTCCCACGCGATTTAGTCGTGGCAACCGCACTGTGAAGGAGAGAGGCTACAGCTGACAGCGTAGAATTCGAAGTTGGGGCCACTTAGCTCTCAAGGCGTAGGCCGTAACGGAACTCCTTCCCCCTTTCTCTTTGAGCGTGGAAAGGTGTACAGGTGTACGTAATTCCTTGGCCAGAGACGTATTGCTCATGGCCATGCGAGGATACTAGAAAATCACAGTTCTCTGGGCTAGGCATTGTGCGTGTAAAGAGTCAGCAAGCAGTCCGATTTCAGCCATTAGGCAGTGAGATGATGTGTATATTTACGGGTTTCAAAACCAGTTTAACAAAGCGAAAATCATAAAACAAACATTCTCTAACATTAAATGATAAGATCAAACTTATTCAAGCAAGATAAACTCTGAACTCAATAAATGTTTAATGTTCATTTCTTGCTAATTTCTTCCATAAATACGTTAAACAGTATGTAAATCTATTTTAATAACCGTAATAAAATCATGTAATTTTTACTTTTCCTTAATTTTTTCTTTACTTACTTTCTTTCTTTACTTACATTAATTTATATATATCATAGAAAATATCAATATCACAAGTCGTACAGGGGAAAAGATTCCATCATTTTAGTCGCGAAGTTGAAGTGGTAAAAATCTTCACCTGGGCGAGCACTAGAGTGGCCTAGCGTAGTGCTCTAGGGCGAGATACCACAAAGAGAGATTAATGTTTTTTCACTAGTTTTTGTAAATAATTCTATGCTTTAGCTGCTGGCAATGTGATATTGGAGTGAATAGCTAAGATTTTTGATGCGTCTAGAAGCAAATGTTTAAATTCGTGTATTATTGTTTCGTACTAAATTATTATGATGTCCTATGACAGCCGCTAACAGGTGTTAATTAGCAAGTTGATTTTCAATGTGTTCCCTCAAACATTTCGAGTTGTCTTTGTAATGTCTAGGCAGAAACGAGGGCTATAAAAAGCAGTTATGTTTTGTGGCCAAGGTTTCTCCTTAATAAATGCGCTGTCTTTTCTCATTGAAATTGGTGTTTGTAGTTCTTGTCATTTCCCTTTCTCTGTAAAGGTTTAGAAAATTGTTTCAAGTTCCCTTTTATTAACAACTTTCCCGTAGTGAAGTGAAAATAGCAAAATGAAGCAAAATACTCGTGACATTTTTTTTATTGACAATACTCATTCATTTGAGTAACTTGTGTATATTAAATATTGTGTTTTTTTACGTAAAAAGTATTATGAAAACGTTTGTAATGAAATTCGCATAATTATATAATACATATAAAGGAATTTCACAAGAAAACACGTGATAGAAGTAAACGGATTGATAATTCGGATTCAGCTCATCAACATTATTAAATTTCACATTATATTAAATTCATTCGACATTAATTTCACATTTTTTTTAAATTTAGGCAACAAACAAATGTTTAAATTCTGTTTAGCATTGTAAGTTATTCCATGAAGCAGTGATAAATCGGAACTGAATGAAAGTTTTACATACACCAGTAGAAATTTTGAGTAGTGTTTCTCTTGTTCGTAATTATCCATTCGATTCATGTTATGTGCATGCATCGAAATAGACTACGGAAAGCATTACTATCGCGTCCGAGGTGAAGAATGAAGTACAGGGCTTTATGGGCTTTTCCAGTAAATAAGCATACCCCCAGTTTTTAAGATTTCAAAACTGTTTTAAACCCTCATTAACTTAATTTTTCCGTCACAACAATTGCATTTCTAAAGTAATATCTCGAGTACATTATGTATTTACCATTTTGAGATTTATGGTTTTATCGCGTCAAAGTTAAATGTTATTTCGTTTACTTTTCATCATTTCGGTTTTTAGGTTGTGGTAAATTTATTAATTTACAATTTTTTAATTTCCTTTTACTCTGCAAACAATTTAGAATGTACGATCCACAAGCCGTAAAGTGCAAGGGTGATAAAGTGCTGAATAATCGAAATAAAGAAATATAAATTAAGATTTATAACTATTTAACTATAATTATATTTTCCAACGGGATTCGTACGCAATGCCTACCGGTAGATAAGGCCCCTTCCCGTGTCGCGACGACGGTGCGCTTCCGAGCAGCGCGGCGCGTAGCAGAGCATTGGTTTGAATGAAGGCCTTCCAACGTGCAGAGGGTGGCCGCTGCTGCGGCAGCCGACGCCGAACTCCCGCCACGCGAAGCGGAGGAGGGCGTACGCGCCACGGCTGGCAGAACACAGCTTTAAATGGGAGCCTTCCCACTGTGCCGCCGGTCGCTGTGTTTTACCTGCTGCGGTCCCTTCGTTCGCCGTCGCCGGAGGGTCGGCGAAACATACCCCTGCAGAACCCACCCACTTCCACGGCGGGCGGCGGTGTGGACGTTGCTGCGGCGGTGGCGGCGTCGGAAGGGCTCTGCTGCTTGAAGGAAGCGCGGCGCCTTGGCGACGTGGGAAGGCGCCCTGTCTGTCCACTTATCTGGCGCGAGCCAGCTCGATTTCCCGTGAATTAAATTAGTTTGTTCCCGTACTTATTTTGACATCAAAGCAATTTAAAATATTTTGTTCGGTAATAAAAAAATTATTTATCTACTGTTGAAAATGTAACACGAATTTTGGCCTTTTCGTAACTGCATGTAGTTGGTTTGAATTTTTGATATTTATTGAAATAATTGTGCACTTTAAAACTAATGTTTCTTCCTGATTTATTATGACCTTTCGAAGCACAAAAGGCGTGAGAAGCTGAACAAAAACGTTCCTGTCTACTGAAGTCTCTTAGGAATAGCTTTAGATCTGAGGAAAGGGAGGAAAATACGATTTCAGATAATTGGAAAGGTTTGAGATAAAATACTTCAGCGCTAAACTAGCGCTCCGCCCTATTGCGGGATTCGTCGTCAACGTCGAGCGCGTAACTTTCGATTCACACAGTACAGCAGAAAGGCGCCACTTTTGGATCACTGTCGCCATAAGACCGTACTTCATTCTTAACCTCGGACGCGCCATAGCTCAATCGGAGATCCTTGTTACTGAGAAAGTAGACGTCCCTTTAGGAAAGAAAAAAATTCATTCTTTAATTGATTATTTAAAACCTTTTTAATAGCCGACCTGGATGATCGAGGAGGCTAAGAGCTTGTATTGACTCAGAGCTTCGGTCCAAAAGGTCGCGAGTTCGAGTCCCGCCTTGGACATGGTTGATTGTCCCTTCTCTCTTCCTCTCTCCCCCTCTCCCTCTCTCCCCCTCTCCCCCTCTCCCTCTCTCCCCCT